TGCATCTCCAGTATCCTGTGGCACCATGCCTGGCACACAGTCAGTGCTCCATTAATGCCTACTGAAGAGCAGATTCGTGGAGTTACAGCCCCGTGTGGAGGCAGCAGGCAGGTCATCCATGAGATGAGTCCAGACTAACCTACTGACAGTCAGATGCCTGCTGCCGACACCATCTTGCTCCAGCCCTTGGGCAGCTCCACGTGCTCCCCAGCATCTTGCTACTGTGCTTCTCCTGGCTCCTGCTTGCCCCGAAACCCTGCCCTGCCCTGCCCTCTGTTCTGACTCCACCTGTTGCTTTACCTCCTCAGTGCCATGCCAATGCAGGTGTAGCCCATTCCTTTGATTTGCAAACCAAATAATAATGCAGTAATAAATAATTATACAAATCTCAACAAAATATGTTTCTGAGTATTCTTGCTGAAGGTTTGGGGAGATGGAGCAAGTCGGCAAATGCAAACAACCTGAAGGTGCTCTGAAGCATCCGGAGGCCATTTCTGCCAACTCAGTCCTGGCTTCACCCTGCTTCTTGCGTCCTTTCCCTCCCTCAGGTTCCTCCCCTGTCCTCCTCTCCTTCTTCCCAAATGCCTGTTCTTTTGGTTTACAGTTCAAGGTGGTTGGGGGGCTTGGTTTTGCTTTTTGGTCTCCCTTTCTCCTAACTCTGCGGGCCTCGCCTGGCACCCCTTAGCTGGATACTTCTGTAAACAAAGACCTTTTGTTCCCTAAGAAGAACGCTGGTTCCATAAGGTAAAAAGTCATTTTCCCCACATCGCAGCATTATGGGGCAGCTGTGTGTTATTCTCGGCACCAGAGGGGATGAGAAAAGAGAGACTCCTTGAGGCAAATGTGGGAGGAGGACAAAATTCTTTGCTTGACTACATGTGTTCAGGCTCCTGTACCTTCTCCTAGACTTCTCTGTGCCCTTCCTTGTAAAACCCAGAATTGGCAAGAATCCTGCTAAGTCAGTTCAGCAAAGACCGCCACCCTGCATACCGGGCCAGGTTCCTCACCCCCACCAGCCCCCAGGTCGAGTATAGCCACCTGGCCTGCGAGAAGCAAGAAACCCCTTACCCCAGTGCTGCTTCCTCTTAGTAATTTTCCACCCCTGAGCCCCTGCAGCCGTGGCCACCTGAATAAAGCCCGGCTTACCATCTTCAGCAGGTGTCAGTTCAATCATCTTGCTTTGACAGGAGGGAAGACTTAACCCAGAGCCATGCAGCTTGGTATCTAATCACTGAGATGAACCGGCTGTGTGGGCCGGTGGCAGCTAGGACAGGAAGAGACCTCTTGCAGATGACCTTATAAGGCGAGAATTAACAGTCCGGGGCACCTAACAGGGTTTTGGAGCCACCGATGAGAGAGGTAAGAGACGAGGGGTGCACTGGTTAAGCCTCGGGGGCTGAGGAGGGTTGGGGAGGGCAGTGACAAATGAGGAAGTTGGAAAGAGAAGCTGTGAAAATGTGAGTCTTCAATATTTTGAGTAGGAGGAGACAGAAGCTGAGAGGCACCCACTGGGCTGAGGTGGTTTTCTGAGCTGTGAACAAGAGCAGGCCGTGCCAAGGCCAGGGCCCGGGAGAGCTCTCAAGACTGGCAGGCGTGGGCCATGCCCCCACCCAGAGTGTTTGCACAGGCAGAGACCCCGGTCCTCGGCCCCAAACCTCAGCAGACCTTGTCTCTCTGCAGGGATTGGGAACTTGCCCAAAAGCCCCAGTTCGTTTCCCACCCTTAGGTGTTTGCTACAATTACTGGGTTTCTTCTTGGAATGCTTCAGAGGTTTTCGATGTAATCCAAACGTTTCCCCTGTCACTTGTGTATTTCTGTCCCATATCTATTCAGCTTGGCCAGGGGTCAGTGAAAGAAGCCCGGAAACGAGAGAGCTGGATGTCCCTGGGCTCAGCCGCGCAGAGCAGCCCTGCACCAACCATGACACAGAGGGTGCTGAGGCCAGCTTGGTGCAAGCGAGCTGCACGATCCCAAGCATGCAGAGACGAGCGGAAGGCTGCTGTGCGAGGGTCCCTGTGAAAAGGCAGTGTCACAGGCCCACACAGACCCGAGGCGGAGGAGGGGAGGGGAGAGAGCGGCCTCGGATCTGCAGGGCACGCCGGGCCTGAGGACACAGCCACGGAGCAGCGAAGCAGAAAACACAGGGCAAAGGCAGCGAGTGTTTCACAAGGCGAAATATATTCCATTCGAAGGCCATCCATTGGTCATTCATTCTGAGATGAAGTAATCCCGTGGGAAGAGCTTTCTTTTTAGAAAATGGTCAGAGTAGTATGTGCCACTGGCCTTAAAGTTCTCATTTGGCAAAATGAGAAATTGGAAACATCAAGTAAGTGCTTCCAATTAAACAGGAGGAAAAAAATGGCTGGCTTAGGAAGCCGTGAACTTGAGGGTTATCCAGGGCTTGAGTCGGCACCTCCCCACCGCCCGGTTTGCCAACGGCCCTGGCGGGAGGCGTCCTGCAGTGACAGTCAGAGGAGCGTGGCCCGGCCTCGGGGGTCCTGGCCCACCCTGGCCTCCTTGTAACGACCAACAGCCGCAGGAAGAAAAGGTCTTGCTGCAGTGTGGTGGCTACAGCGGCACCCTGGGTGACCAGCGCCTGTCTGGATGGACTCTTTTAAGAGAAAGGCTCCATTTTGTCAGAGCTGCTTTCTGAGGATCTCTTCACCACCAAAGACCCCAAAGGGATTGCTGCTGGACCTGGAAAAGGGGGGACGTACTTTTGAGTCATAAAATGGAATGGAAACTAGTGTGTGTAGTCTGCTGTTTTGCTCGATACAAAACTTGGTTGTTTTATCAAAAAAGCCTGTGTGAGGCCAGCTGTGTCTTCTCTCATAAAATCCTCCCACCGCCCAATAGGAAACGGCGATGCCTAGAAGCCGCTTGCCAAGCGGTGCGGTCGTGAGAATCTGGAAGGCGCTCCGTCCGCCTTCCTGAGCCTTTGAAATTTGGAAGCAGGGCCAGGACGGTGATGAAGGAGGGTGGCGCCCCCTGGTGAGAGCTGTTCGGCACACCCAGGTGACCTTCCACCTGCAGGGGCCGTAGCTCAGGGTTTCCAGTGGCCTAACATCGTCCTCCTTTGTGCAAAACCCAGGATTAATAGCTTTGCACAGGGCCCTTCAGTGCGGAGCTGACATGCTTCAAACTCAGAAGACCTAATTTACATTTTGGCGGAGTGGGGAAGAGATGTTTATCTCAGCAGGAGATGCACAGATTAGGGAAGGGCTGACATCACAGAGAGCCAGCCAGCCGAGCAGGCCCCAGGGAAGGAAGCCATACGCTATCTTGGGCAACCATCGCTGCTGCCGCAGCAGGTTGGAGGGTGCGGTTCCTCCAGGGTAAGGACTGGGCAGCCATCAGGAAGTCTTCAAGTTGAACCAAGCAGCCCTGTCCATCTGGGATAAAAGTAGTTTGTCAGATCTGGTTATAGAAAGTCCCAGGAAAGATTAAACACAAATGCCACATGCTTGTAAAAGGACATGGTCTCAGAACAGCCCAGCACCTTCTGGGTTAAGTGGAAAAGCTTGTGAAAGGCCAAAGAAGATGGATTCTGTCCTTCCCAGGCCCTGACTTGAAGCCAAGAGGAACTTATAGGGAGTGAGTTCTGGATGCTGACCTGATGCTGTAAGATTCTCTCCAGGCTCGAACTTACAAGCCTGACGTTTCCAGGTTCCAAACTGTGATTCCGTCCAAGGCCAGATGATTTGATTCCCATAAATTACATCTGTCTCCGAGTAGTGTTAATAAGGAGCACTCTGGGTGTGAACCAGAGTCCCCGGGGATCCAAGAGGAATTCTTCTCCCCGCCATATGTGTTATTCAGGTGGTGGGTTCCTTCCAGGCATTCCGAAATTCCAGGGAGGGATCAACCACACATTGTTGAAATTAGACAAGAAGGACTTGAATGCATCCCGACCCCTGGAGGAGGCCTGCACGCCCATCTCCTGCAGAGGGTTTGAAGGTCCTTGAAGCTGGTGCTCAGATGGCCCAGCAGGGACCCTGAGAAAGAAATTCAGAAGATTCCTTCATAACATCATCAATCCCGCAATCCCAATTGAGAAGGTCTGAAGATTGCATCTACTCTCTGGCTTTAAAACGTCCAATTTTACATAGGTTTGCTTGTTTGGTTTTTTTTTTTTTTTTTTCTAAGTACAAGAACAGCAATGATCAAACTTGGAAAGCATCCTTGCATTTTCAGTGGAGCAGGATAGTAAAAACTTTGCTAGGTTCAGTCTTGCTGGTGGTCTTGGGAGGGAGGCAGCCCCCAGGGAGGGACACAGGAATGGGGAAAAGAGCTGAGGGTTTTTATTCCCAGTTCTTCATCTTCACAGTGCCTACAGCTTTCAGCCCTGTTCCCTTTTTCCTTCTTACTTTTGTGTCAAATAATGCTTTTTATTGAGACAGAATTCACATACCAGACCATTCGCCCTTTTAAAGTACACAAGGCAGTGGGCTTTAGCATATTTGCCGACTAACACAGCCATCAACACAATCCATTTTAGGACATTGTTATCACCCCAGAAGGAACCCCATATACATCAGCCATCATCCGCCATCTCCTCATACCCTCTCAGCCCTGGGCAACCACCAACCTACTTTGTCTATAGATTTGCCTATTCTGGACATTTCATGTAGGTGGAGTCGTACAATAGCTCATCTTTCATGTCTGGCTTCTTTCACTTAGAAGAACGTTTTCAGGGTTCATCCATGTTGTAGCATATGTCCTTACTTCATTTCTTTTTATGTTGGCATAATTTGCCATTGCAGGGATGTACCACATTCTATTTATCCATTCACCATTTTATGGCCATTTGGGTTATTTCCACCTCTTGCTGTTATGAATACCGCTGCTACGACCATTTGTGAATACGATTTTGTTTACACACATGTTTTCGTTTCTCTTGTTTAATACCAAGAAGTGAAATTTGTCAGATTATATGGGAAGTCCTTGTGTAACCTTTCCAAGAACTGCCAGACCATTTTCCACCCTTATCTACTTTTCAGGAATCCTAAGAATTGGTCATCATGTCTGACAAAAAAAAAAATAACGGTATCACTGGATCTTCCCAGAAAGAGTCTAAGTAAGTACTACGTTAAATCTCAATTTTAGCTGAGTAAGTTGGCTAACCAGCTGTTTTGGTTAGATGGAATTAATAATAATTTTTTTTAATCCTATTTTGTTTTCACATTTGTTGAAAAGTCTTCTAATTCAAATCAGCATGCTGTAGTTGCATCCCTTAGAAGGAAGGGGGCAGGGAAAATCATTTGAGTTTTGGCACTTAGGATTCAGGGTCTTCAGGGATCAGTCATCCATTCACCGACATCTATTCAGGGCCTCTGGCAGGTCAGGCCTAGGCCTAAGTACTCAGGAACCACAGATGAACAAGACAGACACTGGCTCAGCCTTCATGCACTAAGTTCTAGCATGGGCGAAAGGCAAAACTCAAAAGTATTGCTCTGCAGGTAACAGAGGAACTGAGAAAATCACAAAGGTGTTTGGGGGCTGCTTTAGATATGATGATCAGGGAAGTCTGCTGTGAGGAGGTGTATCAGTTTTGCTGCCATAACAAGTTACCACAAACTCAGCAGATTAAAACAACACTCAGTTATTAGGGTACAGTTCTCTAGGTCAGCAGCCTGGGTGGGCTCAGTTGGGTTCTAGGCTCAGGGTGTTACATGGGCAAAATCAAGGTGTTAGCCGGGCTGGGCTCACATCCAGAAGCTCTCAGAAGGAATCCACTTCCAAGCTCATCCCAGTTGTTCAGAGTCCAGTTTCTTGCAGTTCTAGGACTGCCTTAGTCCGTTTGGGCTGCTACAACTGAGTACCAGACACCAGGGGCCTTAAACAACAGACACTTATTTCCCACAGATCTGAAGGCTGGGCAGTTCGAGACCAAGGCCAGCGGATTCTGGGTCTGGTGAGGGCCTACTTACTGGTTCACAGACAGCCATCCTCTCACTGTGTCCTTGGACGGCAGAAAGGGATGAAAGAACTCTCTGGGGTCTCATTTATAAGGGCACTAACACCATTCGTGAGGGCTCCATGTCTGTGACCTTCTCACCTCCTTAAGCCCCCTCCCCAAACACCATCACATTGAGGGTTAGGTCTCAACATATAAACTTGAGGGGGATGCAACCCTTCAGTTGATAACAAGGACTGAGGCCCGCCTTCTTGCTGGCTGTCAGGGGGGTGCCTCAGCCCTCAGGGCACCCTCTTTCCTCCTCACATGGCCCCTCCATCTCCAGAGCAGTGGTGGAACATCCAGCCATTCTCATGCTTTGCATCTCTCGACTTCTGCCGCCAGCCAGAGAGAGCAAATGATTTTAAGGGCTCCTGTCTTCCTGTCTCAAGGTCAACGGTGCCATCTGACATAACACAACCACAGGACTGACGTTTCATTACACTCCTAGGTTTCAGGAATGAGGACGTAGAAGGGGTGGGGGACCTGCAGCATGAGGAGGAGGTGAGGATGTGGTGGGAGGTGTGCAGTATCCCAGACAGAGGAAGCAGATCCTCTTTGGGGCAGGAAGAAGTTGGTGTGTGGGGGACACTGAAGGGTCAGCGCTGTGCAGCTCCAAGCTCAGACTGTGGAGCATGGTCTGCGAGGAGGGGAGCAAGAGGGGGACACCCCTGCAACCATCAGGGTCTTTGAAGACAGCTGTTAACAGGATGGAGCCAGAAGCATGCCAGGCCCAGGACACCTTTTAGAACTCAACCACTGAAGATGTTTCTTAAATAGACTGATTGAGATATAATCTATAATTGTCATTCAACACACAGCACATATTTGAAGTGTACGATTCAATAACTTTTGACATATGTATCAGTTCAGGAAAACATTCCACCATCAAGATAATGAGCATATCCATCACTCCCAAAAGTTTCCCCATGCCCTTTGTCATCGGTTCCTCCTTTCCTCTAAGCAGCTATTGATCTGCTCCCTGTAATGGTTCTAGACTTTTATATAAAGGCCATCATGCAGTGTTGTTATGGGATGAATTGTATCCTCTCCAAAATTCGTATTCTGAAGTCCTAATATGCCCCGCAGAATATGATTATATTTGGAAACAGGGTCTTTATAGAGGTAGTTAAGTTAAAATTCAGTCATTAGAGTGGGCCCAGATGTGACTGGTATCCTCATAAGAAGAGAGTGGGACACAGGCACACACAGAGGGATGACCGTGTGAAGACATCAGAAGAAAATCCATCTACAAACTGAGGAGGGAAGCCTCAAGAAAAACAAACAGATCTCCAATGCCTTGATCTTGGACTTTCAGTCTCCAGAACTGGGAGAAACTAAATTTCTGTTGTTTAAGCCACCCAGCGTGGGGTACTCTGTTACGGCAGCCCTAACAGACTAATACAAGTATGCGATTTTTTGTCTGACTTCTTTCATTCAGCATAATTATTTTGGATTCCTCTGTGTTTTTGTATGTATCAGTAGTTCATTTCTTTTTTATTGTTGAGTAATATTCCATTATATGGATATACCACAATTTATCCATTCACCTGCTGACTGGCATTCAGGTTGTTTCCAGTTTTGCCTTTTATAAATAATGCTGCAATGAGTACCCATTTACAAGTCTTTTTATGACATATATTTCCTTTTCTTTTGGGTAAATACTTAGAAGTATTTACTTAGTAACTACTTACAGTAAATAGGAGTAGAATGTCTAGACCATATAGCAGTTGTATGCTTATCTTTTTAAAAAACTGCCAAACTGTTTTCCAGAGTGGTTGTATTGTTTTACATTCCTACCAGCAATACATGAGAGCTCAAGCTGCCCCACATCTTTGTCAACACTTGCTGTGGTTGGTCAGTCTTTCTTATTTTAGCCATTCTAATAAATATGTGGCAATATCTCATTGTGGTTTTAACTCGCATTTCTCTAATGACTAACAACTTTGGCATTTTCTCAAATGCTTAATGGTCATTCAATAAGGAAAATATAAGCTTATTAAGCAAAATAAACATTTGTTTGTTTGTATCTAAGAAATCTTTGCCTACCCCCAGGTTACAAGATTTTCTCCTGTATTTTCTTCTAGAAGTTCTGTACTTTTTAAGTTTTACATTTAAGTCTGTTTTGGGTTGATATTTTTATATGATGCAAGGTACGCATCAAGGCTCTGGTTTTGTTTTTTAGGGGTTTTTTCTGCACATGGATATTCGGTTCTCCCAGAACAGTTTTTGCAGGGATTATTCTTTTTTCCACTGAATGACTTTTGAAACTTTGTTGAAAATCTGTTGTCTGTATTTCTGTGAGTCTATTTCTGGATCCTCTCTTCTGTTCTATTTATCTATTTAGCTCTCTTTATACCCATACCACACTGGATTGATTACTGGAGCTTTATAAGTCTTGAAATCAAATGGTATGAGACCTCCTTCTTTTCTCTTCTTTTTCAAAATTGTTTTGGAAATTCCATGTCCATTGAATTTCCCTTTGAATTTTATAATCAGTTTGCCAATTTCTACCCAAGAGCCTGCCTGAATTTTGACTGGGATTACATAAAATCTATAGACCAATTTGGGGAGAATTGACGCTGTAACAATATACGTTTAAATGGAGATATAATTCACATACCATAAAATTCACCATTTAAGAGTATACTATTCAGTGGTGTCTAGTACAGTTGACCCTTGGACAACACAGAGGTTAGGGGTTCTGACCCTCCATGCAGTCAAAACCTTTGACTCATATAATTTTTGGTTCTCCCAAAACTTAACTACTAATAACCTATGTTAACTGGAAGCCTATGGATAACAAACAGTAGATTAATATGTATTTTGTATATGTATTATATATTGTATTCTTACAATAAAATAAGCTATAGAAAAGAGAATGTTAAGAAAATCATAAAGAAAATACATTTACAGTACTGTACTATATTTACTGGGAAAAATCCATGCATAAGTGAACCTGCTCAGTTCAAACCCATGTTATTCAAGGATCAACTGCATATTCACAAGGCTGTATAGCCATTATCACTATTAAGTTCCAGAACATTTTCATCACCCCAAAAAGAAACCCCAAGCCCATTAGCAGTTACTCCCATCCTCCTTGCCCCAGTCCCTAGGCAACCACTCATCTACTTTATGTTTATAAATTTACCTATTCTGGACAGTTCATTTAAATGGAATTATACAACATGTGACCTTCTGCGTCTGGCTTCTTTCACTCGACATGATGTTTTCAAGGTTCCTCCAGGTTGTAGCAGACATCTTAACAGTATTGAGTCTACAGCTACTAGATAGATAGATATACCAGCCTGGGATACTGCCGAAACCACTTTTTTAGAATTAAGTGGCTGAAATCAACTGCCGAAATATATATATATGTTTATCCTTCCTCAAAGTAACCCATGTGATTAATTTCCACTGAACTGAGGGGATGGCTGGCTGGAGTTTGTAAAATTATTGAACTTTAGAACTGACAGGCAACTTAGAAATTGTGTAGTCAAGAGGTTGCAGAGTGGTTGCCCAGAGGCCAGTTGGCAATCAGATGTGTTTGTGTGGCCTACACAGGATGTCCTTAGCATGTGAGCCAACATTTCAAAATCTGGGAGCTTTCACAGAAAATTCTTTTAAAAATCAGACATCTGGCAGCCCAGAGCCCACATCCCACTTGGTGGTGATATGCTGGATGAGGACAGAAGCCTCTTCTCCAGGGCTCCTTGGACCCAGTCCCCACCCCCAGCCCCCAGGGCATCGGTGCCCTCATACCTATACCCTTCAGGTTACCTGCCCAGCTCATAGACAGGTGAATTTACACCTCCCCGCAATGTTCCAACCTATCCCTTTTACAGGGAAGCCCTGGGAGGTTACCTGACTTTCCTGGTCTCAACAGTGAGTTAGGCAAACGGTGAATGCGGACAGTGAATCATGTGATTTTTCCTATGCAAACTTTCTCTCCCACCAGGGTGACCAACTCCTGGTTTGCTTGGGACTTCTCCGGTTTTAGAACAAGAAGTCCTGCTATAGCCCAGAAACCCCCTTGGTCCCAGACAAACCACCCTACCTCTCTCCCCCAGCCCTCTTCCCCCACCAAAAAAGAAGCATAAAATAAAATAATTGAATTGAAT